ATAGGTATCTGTGGATGATCCTAAGAGACCAAGTCTGAAGAGACAGTCCCCAGGCAGAGTAGGCCTTATATTTATACCTCTGTGGTGGAACCTGCTAGAACATCTTGCTTACTCAGCCTAGTCAGGTGATCAGGTCATATGACCAAGGATGAGGTCATATGAGGTCATGCACAGCCATGCACAGCAGGTCACCTGACCATCCAATCCTTCCAGCAGGTTCCAGCACATGCCAAGGTATACCAGCTACTTCCATGTCATAAAGGCTTAGTCATGTCTCTTGACCAAGCAATGAGCTAGTGCCCTAACACATTATGCTTGAAAACATGGCAAAGATCATTGTGCAGATATGCAAGGATGCTGAAGACCCCAAGTTTTTGACATCTTCCTCATATTGGAAGCCCAACCCCTTCTAGCATGCAGTGATGCTTCTTGCAAATAGTGAGAAGATGGAACTCATTGCTGACCTTCTGGAGGTGTGGCTCCAAATTTTTGATGACAACCAGCAAGTGGAACTGGCCACCCTCTCTGCACCAGCCACCAATGAGCAGGAGGAGAGTGATGATGAGTTCATGGACTTGTTGTCAGGCTTCAAGGTGCAATTTTTCTCTCTCTCCATTTTTCATTTGCTGATGTGATCTTTCAGAATTCCTTGGCCACTGCCAGTCTGAAGGTCAAAGAGGAGCAGCCCCCCATAAAGTTGGGTCTGCCCTGTGCTGACAACAGCACACTCAGTATGCTGCTAGTGCTGAAAGGGCATGGGAGGCCTACCAAGGCCAACTCAAAGCTGGCAGTAAGTCAGCTGCATCTCCTGTTTGGACATCCAATTTCTTGTAGGGTTGGTTGTCAGAGGAGACCTTGGCAGCACTGCTGCAGGTGTTGAAGGACAAGTCAGTGGTGGAGTCCTTCTCAGATTTAAACTGTGTAAGTCCTCTCCCTGCATTCTTTTCTTTGGTATTCCAATTGCTGATGAAATTTGGATAGTGTCTGGCCTGTCACAAGCATGCTGTCCTCAAGGATGGTGTGCTGCAGCACAAGTGCAATATTGTGGACCAGCCTGGTAAGGCAGTCTGCATAACATGCAAGACATCAAAGAAGCCATTTGGCACTTGCCAAGGTATGCCACATTTTGTCTCCTATTGAAGCTGGCTATCTGCACCTGCCTTTTTCCAAACAGGGTGAAATGGCTGTTATCTTAGACCCCACATGGGCACCATGGGTGCAAACACCAGAGCTGTCTGCGGAAGGCTTCCGTAATGCAGTGAGTGGATGGGACTGGAAGCGGTCAGCCGCTTTCTGTTTTTGACCGAGGGAGTGGTCATCGGCCGACATCAATGATGTTGGAGCGTCATCCTCCTTACCCCTCAGATGGGACACAAAGACTAAATAAAGCAGGCGTAACACCGATGTTTATATGCCGAGTAGTCAAGAAAGTGTAACATAGACATGGTAAACAAGATACTTAGTGGTATCAATACAGTCTTTTCGAAGCGTAAAAAGTGAAAAGAAAAAGTGTAGATCAAAAAATTGCAGATGTGTCTCGTCCGGAGGGTGCTACTCCTCCTTCGCTAGCACACCGGCACTGCCGTTCTCCCCCCTGGCTTCCCGCTGCCTTTGCCTTGCCCGCTCGACGAGGTCAACCCCTACGAGGATCTTGCTCGCCTTCCACCACTGGACTGCGTTTATAAAGTTCTTCAGGGCGGCGATGGGGAAGAAAGCGAGTGCCATCACCGCTGCCCAAGTGACGAGTTCGAGGTAGCTGAGTGCGTATACGCCCCACGGCCCGCCAGATGTGAGGAGGTTGATAACTTGCGTAGAGAGGTAGGCGATGACAGGTTTCGGGGATGAGGCATTGAGCACGGCGGTGTGGTCGAAGTGCATCAGGTAGAGGGCGACGAAGAATAACTCGTTGCCCGCACAGCAGATGAAGAGCACTGTTTGGGAGGTGTAGTAGACGCTGAGAACCCAGGAGACGTCGGATGTCACGAGTTTGTGTGATTTGGAACCCGTGGTTAGGGAGCTGCTTTGGGTTAGCACGCGAAGATGGAAGGGAGGAGAAAGGCGTACCTGTACATGTGCATGTAGTGGCTGCTAAAGTCAAGGGTGATGAGGAACTGGAACACGGTCGCAAAGCTCGGGTATGCGCTACTGAGGAAACAGAGGAGACAGGCGGTCGTACACCTGTCTGTGACCATGTCGAGCACTGCGCCGAACTTTGTGCTCTGGTTCAAGGCACGCGCGGCCATGCCGTCGAATGCGTCTAAGAGGCAGGAAAGGCAGTAGAGGACGGTACAGTAGCGTGGGTGGTAGGGCATGAAATGGAGGCTGAGAGCAGCGAGGAGGATGCGGGTGTACCCGATGAGGTTGGGCACGAAGAGATAGACGTTTTCCCTCACTTCATGGGTTGCGAGATCGACGGCGAGCTTTGCGTCCACTAGGCCTGTGTCTGCTACTGACTGGGTGCGGAGCTCGGCGAGGCGGGACCTGGAGCGTGCTTGGGCGTCGGCGCCGCGAGGGCGGATGAGAGGGTCGGTTTCTGACATGGTGGTTGTTGGAAGAAGAGGGGAAGGTGGTCGTGTGAGAAAAAGAGAATGATAAGAGGATGAGGGTCGGCGCAGTGGGTGGACTGGGCGCCGGTTGGGGCACGTATGGCGATGCAACCCTCCAATGGTCGAGTGACACCATTCTAAGGATGAGCTCAGCGCAATGACGTGTTTGAAGATTATGTAATCATATGGAGAACGGAAGAAATTCATCATCATCCCATCGTGGTTTTGAGTCGCAGATCCCTAGAGGTGCATCCCACACATCGGCATACAGCACAACCATGCATCACCGTGTCCTCATACACCGTGCACGAGCCGCTCTCGCTCATTCCGCGCGCGCTAGGCTGGTCTCACCTAGACCCACAGCGGCGTTCCACACTTCTAGACGGATACACGCAGACCCACCGGGCGAAGTGACTGCTCCTGTTGTTCAAGAGTCCCAGACCCAGACTGTGCCCGCCCAGGAGGAAGAGGAAGACGCAGCGAGACCAACGTTCGTCAAGGAAGAAGAGAGACCAAGGAGGCGCAAGACCACTGCGACGCGCTCTTCTCCTGCTGCTGCGGACATACCACCAGAGTACGCTTCCGCTCACCTATGGCTGCCTGACTCTCAACCACCACCACCAACTGGGGCTGCACATCCTCCGGGACTGCCCCCACCGCATATGATGCATGATGCTCTTACTAGCCTACTCCTATGTCTTCATCCGCAGACACAGCATCGAAGTCTCTTTCCCGGACCTGGAGGACAAGCACAGGTAGAGCCAACTCTTGCACTGTACTGCCCGATCGAGGGAGGCGACTACGTGCTCGATGAAACGATCAGGGAGGTAGCTAAGCGCGCAGGTGCAGAAGTCGTCGTACTAGATGCGGCACAGCTAGCAGCGGGGTCACACGGGGTATTCGGTCGTTGTGCGTTCATTTCACTACGTGTATGCGCTAAGCCACTAATGTTCCTGTAGCTGCGGTGGGATTCCGACTCCCTTCTAACCCGCTCCACGTTACTTCCGTCACTTCTGTTCAGTCCCCCAACCCCCCTTCTGCTGCCTACGGACCAGGGGAGGAAGATGACGAACTCGATGCCCCCCTTTACCCCAGCAGCCTCGGCGCCGTCGCCATCCAGATCCCTACAACGATGCATTTGTCTACTCTTCCGCGGTCAAAGATTGGCTCTGCTGCTAGTGCCGCAGCTCGTAATGCACCACAGACGGCTATGCGCAAGTTATTCGACGAGATAGTCAATCTTTCACCTTCACTTCCCGATCTCGATCTACCTTCGACAAGCACCAGTGCCGGCAGTGCCGGCGCACCCCAATCACCCGTCAAACCACGGATCATCTACATCCGGGATTTTGGTCTCTTAGCGCCCACAAGCGCCCACTGGTACCCTACTCTGCTCAGCGCCGTGCGTGCCCGCCGTGCCCGTCCGCTCTCCCGTCCCTCCCAACCCCCACCAAACCCTACCGTGATTGTCTTCGGTTGTCTTCCCCCGCTCCTCCCGCAACTGCATGTCACCCCTACCGCCAGCGCGGGTGGCATCCTCAGCATGCTCATGGGCCCCTCGCGATCTACAGGAGTCGTCCGTGTAGAGGGCAACGAGGAGGAGGACGCGCACGAGCGGGAGCGACGACTTAGCGAGCGACTCACCGCGTGGGAGAAGAACGAGCCCCTCTGGCTGTCTAGCGAACTGCCTGCTTTTGGCGGCTCACCCCCTGCCTCCACTGCAGGAAGAAGCGCCATGGACCAGCTGGGAATGCTCTTCGGAGGGGGGTACGTTGGCCTCCCCGCAAGAATAGGCGCCGATAGCGAGTATGTTTCTCCCCCCGCCGGAGTGGAGGACGGTGCTGTCGCCGGCGCGGACGCGCGCCCTGCACCACCGTACTTCCGAGCGCTGACCATCTTGCCCTCCATGCGCGCCCCAGAGCTGGAGACAGAGACCCGCCTCGCCCGGAGGAGGGAGATCAACATGCTCGCGATGCGGATGGCTGTAGGCGCCGTTGGGGGCGTACTTCCCGACCTAGAGCTGGGGGACGAGGAGCTGCAGCAGGAAGACCTCTGGCAGGAATGGGGGAAGAAGGTAGAGCCCTGGTCTGTCCTCCGAGGTGTGGCGAGTCGCGCTGTCGGCGGAGTCGTAGCTGAGCAAGTTGGGGCGGGAACGGGAGGAACCTCAACCCTCAACCCTACCCCCGTGCCGTGGACTGCTGTGCTCGACAGCTGGGAAGCACAGCGTTCCTCCGGTGCAGCGCGCAAGGCATGGCTCGACTCTGCTCGTGCGGCGTCCCTCCTTTCTGAGGAGACCCCTGCTCCTGGCACGGAAGAGAGTACCGAAGAGAAGGAGGACGAGGTGATCTCCCGCGTGCGTCAGGCCCAGGACCTGGAAGAGGGCGAACAGCGCCTGCTGGGGTGTATCGTCGACCCTTCCACTATGCCTACAACGTTTGCCAACGTCCACTTGCCCGCAGGGACGATCGACAGCATACGCACGATCGTTAGCCTGCCTTTACTCCACCCGCAGGCGTTTTCCCAGGGTATTCTAAAACAACACGCTATGACGGGGGCGCTGTTGTTTGGTGTACCGGGGACGGGGAAGACTCTGGTCGTTCGGGCGCTGGCGAAGGAGAGTGGGGCGCGGATGCTCATGATCAGACCGAGTGATATATTCGATATGGTGGGTTCTCCTCTTATAAACATATGAAGTGAAATGCTGATTCCTGATACAGTATGTCGGCCAATCGGAAAAACTCGTCCGCGCGGTGTTCACCCTCGCGCGCCGACTCCAGCCCTGCATCATCTTCCTCGACGAGATCGATGCTGTGTTCGGCGCGCGAGTCTCTTCCCGCGAAACAGGAGGTGGGATCGCCCACCGACAAGTTATCACCGAGTTTATGCAGGAGATGGATGGCCTGCGCACAAAGGAAGGTGGCGTCATCGTCATAGGTGCCACGAACAGGCCGTTTGATCTAGACGATGCCGTGCTTCGTCGGTTGCCGAGGCGGCTGCTTGTAGACTTGCCGGGCGAGAAGGAGCGAGTGGAGATCCTCAAGATCTTATTGAGGGACGAGGTCTTAGCGCCTGAGGTGGACATCCAGGGGCTGGCGAAACGGGCGGAAGGCTTCTCGGGCTCAGATCTGAAGCGTGAGTAGTTCATTGTGAGCGACTGACTAGCCACTGATATGGCGTAGACCTGTGTGTGTCTGCAGCGCTCAATGCGGTTAAGGAAACTGTGGAACTACCCTGGGCTGTTCCGAGGAACGACATCAAGGATACCCTGGCCTTGACAATGGTACCCGAGCTACAAGAGGCATCGTCCATACCCTTGGAAGAAGAAAAGCCATCGCAGGAAGGTGCTAGTACACCTATTGCGGAAGGCAATGAAGCCTCAGTCCAGGAAGGCACCAGCGCACCTATTGCCGACCTCTCCCCCCAGATAGACGGGAGCGACGCGCCCTCTGCTTCTCCTACTGAACCGGTCTCCCCACCACCACCGTCGATCACACAACGCGTCCTCCGGCCGCACCATTTTGCCAAGGCGCTCACCGAGATTAGCGCTTCCACATCTGAGTCCCTGGGCACATTATCCGACCTGAGAAAGTGGAACGAGGAGTTTGGAGAAGGGGGTACGAAGCGCGGGCGGAGAAAGCGTTGGGGTGCCAAATTCGGGTTTGGCATACCTGACCAGACGCAGGGTGTGAGGGAGCTGGGGCAAGTCGGTGGCGGTGAGCCGTGAACGGATTAGCGTGTCGGCGGGAAGTTTTTCTAAGGTAGTATCGAGCATCTTAGCATGGCATGAACATAGAATCACGCAAGTTTTGAAAACCCACCGTAATGGAATTGTGAGTCATGTGCATGTGTATGTGTGGGACTGGGGAATTCCTCATTCGTGATTTGGGTGGTGGGAACGCCTTTGTGAATATAACTCGCCGAACCCACCCTTTTGTTGAACAGCCTCACTCTGTACTTACGCAGCCAATGTACAGTTACTTGATGCGCTCGTCCACATAGAATAATTGCAAACGTAGGCCGTCGATATGGACAGACATGGTATCGTCAGGGCAGTGCTTTGGAGGACCCTTCTGAAAGTGAATGGGAATCACAATGAAGTGTCCGTCTCTCACGAATGTATGCGTCTTTATCCGTGTCCTTCTCTTCTCATCTGCGGCGCCGTTGAGTGAGGATGAGCGATCCGATATCCGAAGCGGAGACGCTCAAGGCAGAAGGAAACGCACTCTTTACGCAGAAGAAATACAAAGACGCCGCATGTAAGTACACGGCGGCTATTGAGCTCTGCCCTCAGAACGCCGTCTTTTGGTCAAACAGAGCCGCATGCTACCTCAACCTCAAACGGTGCGTTCAAGAGTTCGCTATCACATCAAACATATTGACAAATCTTGCAGGTATTCTGATGCTGCTACCGATGCAAAGCATGCGACAGAGCTCGACGCGTCTTTCGCACGAGCCTGGGCAAGGCTTGCAACAGCGAAGCAGCACCTTGGATCATGGATACAATCTATAGAGTCATGGGAAAAAGCAATCTCTTGTCTCCCGAATGAGAATCGCTCCCCAGCCGAAGAGAAGCAGGCCAAAGAGTACGAGGACATGCTGGCGAAGGCGAGACGGGCATTGGAGAGTGTAGAGAATCACGCTAAAAATCTTGGAAAGGACAACGTCGTCAACAATTCCGAAGGTGGCAAGATGCCCTGGGAGAGGGCAACGAGATTCATTGAAGAGGTCATTGCACAGGGCGGAGAGGATGGTCAATTTAGCAGTGTGCGCTCTCGTTCAGTCGGCAAAGAACGACTCTCTGACGCGTTCCCAGGCGTGGCAGATCCTTGGCGCCTATGAATCATGGGAAGAAGCTATGGAACGCATGAACGAGATCAAGAAGATGGAAACGAATGGACAAGTCGCGTTAACAGGCAGAGTTGGGGTATTATTATTCTATCATTGTCCTGTCCCGGCATTAAAGAGGAACCACATCTAGGCTATCGAGCAATTCTCAAACGCAATCATCTACGACAGCCGTGTATTCCACATTGAGGACTCTCAATTCATGGTCAAGTACAATGATCAGGGTTCGTGTTTGTCTCGATTCCAGGTGATGACCAATGAATACTGTGCAGTGAAATACGAAGCGTTTGTCCGGAAGGCTTGGACAGAAGGAGGGCCAGAGCTTATTCTTAGAGAGGCCCAGGAGCGCTTGTCTAAGTCCGGCTGGGATAGCGTGCGTCCCGCGCTGTCGGTAACAGGTCGGTAAATAATTCATCTGAACCACATTCGGAAATGCATGTCGCTGACCGGGATATAGAGCTTACGTCCTTCGCGCATTTCTGACAGCGGGCTTGATGGAAGACAGCGCAGCAGCTGTTTCATTCTATAATGATGCGATCGGCATTCTTGAAGGTGGAAAGGCCCTGTGGTCGAATGTGACTGATGAAATGCGTGGGGCGATCTTTGCTCCCACATTCATCCGTGGCATCAAGGGACTAAGGCTCGAGTCGTACATGACGGTATGCTCCTCCTCATATATGCAGACAGAGCTCATACATACTATGGTTTAGGCCTACAAGCAAGGAACCAAAGGATTCACCGTGAAGAAACTTAAAGACCTTGCAGTAGAGCTCGAGGAGGACATCCGAGGCAATCCACCTCGTGCCGATCAAATGTTCGGTCCTGGATTCATACTAGCATTTTACAACGCTCCACTTGCTCAAGCCTTGGCGTAAGCCAATCATGTTGTCAGCACACGCTCATACTAATCCCGATGCGCAGGATGCGAGCTCTTTACGAGCGAGAACTCGCAGAAAAGGGTGAAGAGCCCAAAGAAGTGAAACAACACCTTGCGCGCGCGGGTGAGTTATATGCCGAAGCTGCAAGTCACCTGGCGCCAGACGATGAGGTTTATGCTTGTATGTGTAGTAGCGTCTCGTCTCGTTGTGTCGGACTAAGTTGTCAACAGGGTTCCTCAACTTGGCCCTCGGCGTCCTTTGGCAAGGCGGAGCTGCACTGAGAGTCACCCTTCCTCTGATGGAGAAGGTGAAGTCCTCTGTACCAAAGATGAAGCGTATTTGGGAGCATTCCCAGCTTGCTCTTGGTGGACGAGATCAAGTCCTACAGAAGACTCTCCGGTTTGAGGAGGACATTCAGAGGCCTTGGCAGAAGGGAAGATCACCTTAGATGACCCCGTCGCACCGAATGACCCGAGACAGGTCAGTTGAGGAAGTAGTTTTTATTTATGCAGTAATCCCTACTCGGATAAAATGCAGAGCATGGCGAAAGATCCGGCCGATCGGCCTGCGTGGGGCTATTTCCCCTTATTGAAGGAGGGCCAGGCACAAAGGGGTATCTTCCATCGATAAGCTCCGTGAGTACCCGAATGATTTGCTGGAGGGTGACTGCACGGACCCCATGGACGATATCAACCCTACAGAACCGTTGGACCGTGGATATCTATTGTGCTTCTGGAAGTATGCCGCCCCAAAAGCTTATGGGTGAGCCTTCCACTTGCTTTTGCCCAACAGTTTTACTAACAATGTGCATGCAGGGCTTTCGCTTTCTGCGAATGTTGGCTTGCGGAAGAAGCCGAGAAAAGGCTGAACAGTACCGAGGAAGAAACCCACAGCTACTGGGCAACTGGAGCAGAGTTGTACGTCAAAGCAGCTTTTGATCCTGAACTACTGATGGACGAAGAGAAGAAACACAGTAAGCTGCTCTCTATTCAGATCCATCAGAATCTGATACAGTTCCAGTATATATCAACGGATCGCTCAGGCATATTGGCGTTCTGGAGCCGCACTGAAGACGACGCTCCCGCTGATGAAGATTCTGAATCTAGGGCTGCCCCAGGCGAAGAAGATCGGGGAACATTCGGTGTTCGGACTGCAGAGAGGGTTCGATAGTTTTGAGGATACGCTGCGATATCTGGCAGATGTTGAGAAGGTGCTAGCGGAACGCTACCCCAGATTCGATTCTAGAGCCTTGGTTGATGAAGAGTGCGCCTTTTGATCAGATGAATGGACGTCTGTTGTACATTGAACTGTGTGATCTGGAGATGGATGGTAATTACATACAATCAATATCTTGTACGAGGACAACCGGGAGAAAGAGGAAGGTCGAGTGAAGACTTCTAGCGCATCCCCACAACACATCAACTTCCCCACATGATGTGTAGTCGGGTGGGCACGGGATGTCCACCCCGCACCCGTTTGATGAGACCCTTACGGGCCTTGTGGGCGCGCATGCATATAACCGGTTGGTCAAGACTCAAGCTCTTGCTTTTCCCCAGCCATCTGGCAGTCATGTCATTCTCTTCAGCTCGTTCTCTTGGGCGCATTGGGCGCATCAATACTGCGCGTTTAGTGCATGCTCAATCCAGGTATGCTTCAACCAAGGAAAGGAGTAATTTGAACGCTCCGTGACATGCGAACTGACGAAATGCTGCAGTCCCTGGAGGATACATTGGCCGACATCATTCCTGAAAAGCAGGAACAGCTCAAGGCTTTGGTATGTTTCTTCCTCACTGAAATAGCGATGATTATGACTATTTCCAGCGCTTGAATCATGGAGGCGACGTGATTGGCGACATCAAGGTCGAGAATGTCATCGGAGGAATGCGTGGGTTGAAGGCTATGCTCTGGCACTGTTCAGCGCTAGACCCGAACACTGTTAGTGACACCTACTACATCTTTCAGCCCTTTAGCTCAGAGTTTTTTTTTGCAGGGAATTCGTTTCCATGGCCTCACAATCCCCGACTGCCAGAAGGTGCTACCTCCCGCACCAGGTGGGAAGGAGATTCTCCCAGAGAGCATGCTCTGGTTGCTCCTGACTGGCGAGGTTCCAAGCCCTGAACAGGTCCGGGATCTGTCTCGGCAGTTGGCTGAGGAAGGCGAGCTTCCCAAGAAAATCGCCGACGTCGTAGATTCGTGCGTACCTTGCTTGCCTGAAGACCTCGCTAATTATTGTTCCAGGTTCACACGCGACGTGCATCCAATGACCCAGCTGTCAATGGGCGTTGCTCTCATGAACACTGACTCAAAGTTTGCCCATGCCTATGAGACAGGCGTCAAGAAGACGGAATATTGGAGATATGCGTTCAAGGACTCGATGAAGTTAATTGCGCAGCTGCCTGCTTTGGCGGCTCGTATCTATAAGAACGCATACTACCCAGATGTTCCACTGCCTGCTGTTAGGAAGGATCTTGATCTTGTCGGTGCGTATTGAGGTGAATCCACTGTCCATAGCTCTGACATAAGGCAGGGAACTACTCCAATATGCTTGGGTATGGAGACAATGAGGGCATGACCGAGTACCTGCGATTGTACATCGCGCTTCATGGGGTACGTGTCAGTCTTTCTCATCATGATCCGAATTAATGATGTCGCAGGACCACGAGGGAGGCAACGTGTCCGCCCATACTGCTCGTACAGTATGACGTACTTCCCTGGTGCTCGGTGTTCACATGTTTGCAGATCTGGTTGGCTCTGCGCTCTCTGACCCATACCTCTCGTATGCCGCTGCATTATGCGGCCTTGCTGGTCCACTCCATGGGTATGTCAAGTGTTTTTTTTCCATTGTATGCTACGCATCTCACCCATTCCAGGCTTGCTAATCAGGAAGTCCTGCGGTGGATGCTCGCGATGCAGAATGACATTGGTCCCGGCACAGACGTCACCCCAGAGCAGATCAAGGATTACCTATGGACGACACTCAAAGCAGGGAAAGTCGTACCTGGCTACGGTCATGGTGTACTGCGTGACCCGGATCCGCGATTCATCGCCCTGCAGGACTTCTGCGACAAGCGCCCCGAACTGGACTCGAGCCCCATCATCCAGTTAGTGAAGAAGACGTACCAGGTGGCGCCGGGCGTCCTGAGAGAGCACGGCAAAGTGCGTCATGTTCCGTGCGCGAGGGGCGCTTCCGACTCACTGCTGTGTAGACTAAGAACCCGAATCCGAATGTTGATGCCACATCGGGTTGCTTGCTGTATCACTACGGTCTAACGGAGTTCAAGGTATGGAGGTAGTCAGTCAGGCGATGAGCTTCTGGCTGACGGGAGGCAGTACTATACCGTCATCTTCGGCGTGTCTCGGGCCCTTGGTTCCCTATCCCAGCTGGTGTGGGATCGCGCCCTAGGCTTGCCTATCGAACGTCCTAAATGTGAGTTATCTCATTGCACGTACCCCCACCATCTTCATCTGACGTCATTATTCAGCCGTCACGATGGAGGAGATCGAGCAGATGGTAAAAAAGACATGAACATTTGGCAACGTAGAACAACGGTTTGAGGTAGGTGAGGGTGTCCAATAATACTAGTACAAATGAGCAATCATCTCTTTACAAAACCGTAATCGGGAGCCTGTCTCGGGTATCGCGAAGCCTACGCAGGGTCCCCAGGGCCTGCGATAGTTGGAACCTATAGAACCTATACAGCGGTAATTCCCGTCGAAGGCACAAGAAGATGGGAATACTAAGGCGGTGAAAATATCCAAACTAGAAAGATGTAAGGCGACGTACTCGACCACCGAAAGAAGCCTGGTCCTAGATGCGTCGAGGGTATTTCTGCAGTACATTGTGCGGGCGCTGCCCGCCCTGTTCAGGCGGCGGTTGTTGCGCCGGATATCCAGCCGCGTTCGACGTATTCGGCCTCTGCTGAACGGGCATAGCCTGCCGCTGAGGCTGTCCATTGGGCGGTACCGCGTTCGCCGTCTGGGGTCGCTGGAGAACGTTAGGCCCAGGTGCGCGGAGCTGTTGCTGTTGTACCGGCGGACGACCGTTCTGCGGTAGAGGGAGAGAACCAGCTCGATTGGGCTGGGGCATCTGGTTGCGCGGATCCGGTCGCGGCTGAGGTTGACCCTGCATAGGTGTGGGCACGGGTGCTGCAGGTGGGGCACTTCCTGCTGCCTTCTCTGCTGCTTTGATGATCTCGTCACTGAGAGGTCGTGAGCATTGTTCAAGGTCGAAGATTCATATACCCACTCAAGGAGATTCAGTGCAGCACAGAGCACTACCCATTCGACACAATCTTCATTGCCCTCTCCCAACGTCTGCCATACAGCTTTCTCCTCGGCCGTCTTTCCAGTGATCGATATTCGCGTCCCACCGCCATTTGGGTTCTTTTGGATCTTCCCGAACTACAACGAAGGCGTAAGTAATATGCACGAATAAAAGATGCCATCAATTCCTGCAGATCCCCGAATTCGGCAGAAACCGTGCAGGGTCTTCCGCAGCACGGCAGGAGAGCCCAAAATAGAGGATCCGGCTCACCTCGATACGCTTGGGTGGAATAAGGTGCCCAGCATAAGCAAAATAGAACATGCTCCAGAATGTCGCGTTGGGATTTGGCTTGGATATCTGGAACAGCGGCAGATCGGTCTGATCCTGCGCGGGAAGAGAGAGCTTGTAGATAGGAGTGAGGATGCCCGTGTTCGTGATTGTCCATTTGAGGTTGCGCGATGCTTCACAGCGTACGAAGCGCGTGGCTGAGGAAGAGCTATGCCCCGGGTCGGACAGGGTTGCACCACCGCGCTGGTTGCGTGGGGGAGGGAAGAGCTTGGCAACGCAAAGGTCGCCTTGCGGGGATGGTGTCAAAAGATAGTTTTCGGCATTCTGGAACGCAGTGAGCGGAAGATAGTAGGAGACTGACGAGGACGTACGAAGTTGGTATGCAGATATGAATACAAAATGTTGCTGGGCTGGCCTGTGGGTTGATGTTAGCATTCAATATGGTGCCAAGGGATGTTGAACAGACCATGCGGTGTGACGATGAGCGTGGGTAGGTGATTTGGGACTGGAGCGTGGTTTGGTGAAGTAAATACTGTGTAGACAGCTGACATTTGAGCAGCTCGTCGAAGGAGAAGATGGTGGTAAGAAGTAAAGAGTGATGAAGAGGGAGAATGAGAGTTAAGTGTATTGGGCTTACGATGATCATCGGTGAGAGCCGTCGTTCGCTCCTTTGGCGACCCACACACGACTTTGCTCCCGCAACAACGGGGGTTCATCGGAGTTAATTCTTCCCTCTCGGCCTTTGATTCTTTTTCAACATATTTCCGCTCTTCCTTGCTGTCTTTCATCACAAATCTTCCGGCGATAGCGCAATCCAAGAATCCTTGTTCAGAGCAGTTGAGTTTTATATGATCATTGTCGCTTTGGTACGGAAAAGGAGACGGAGGGTTAACTGGCACGCTTCGGACGCGCGGCGCGTCACGCGACTCAGGCTATCAGAGGGAAAAGGAAAAGGAAAGCAAGAAAAATCTCTCTCTTTCTATCCCAACCAGAGATACTTCTGTCCGCGATGCGCATCCGATTTCGAAGATCAGCGCGTCGTAGAAATCTAGAAAATCAGGAAACAGCGAACGGTTTCAGGAACTGCGACGCGTCCAGTTGCCATGCATGACAATTGAATAATTCCAACAATGAATGTGGTGCATTGAACTATATCATGGTTGTCGTTGTAGTAAGTTGTAAGAAGACGTAAAGCATTATTCTTACTCGACAGCATATACCAGCTAATGGGAAATATTACTGTCCTTGTGGAGTGTTGTTTTGGGGTTGGCAAAGGAAGCCCACAAGGTGTTTTACGGAGGCAAACGGGCGGGTCTTCTCTGAAGAGCCCGCGCTCCTCGACGCTCAACAACAGCAGGTATCTGGCGTCCTCCACGTCCTCATCATCTTGCACCACCCACCGCCATCGAACAGCATTCAACAGCCGTCCACGTCGCTCTAGTCTACGTTCTGCCTATTGTAAGACGCGTTTTCTGGCCGATTCTGCGCGCCTTCCAGCGGGGATATCGCTCGGAAGCTCGTCCGACACACACGATCACCACTGGCTATCATGAAGAAACTAGGAAAGAACCTTGGGGTGCGCATATATCAATCTAACCCCCGGGGTATGCTGATGGCAAGTGCAGTTCTCTCGCAAAACATCCGACAACAACAAGAAGGACAAGGATAAGGGCAAGGAGGACAAGGACGCCAAGGCTGCGCAGCAGCAGCAGCCAGCGCCCTCTCAGGCCAGTCAGAACAGCTCGTCCAGCGCTAACAGCAAGGGCAGCAACAATCGAGGGTTGGAGCCCGCGCAGGTACCGAACCCTCCCTCTGGTGCGAGCTCCTCCCATCCCGCCGTGCGGCGGGCTGCAGCGCCCCAACCGCTCACACCAGAGCGGAGAGTAGGTGCTGGCCCTGTTGGTGCCGCCATTCCGGACAAGACGTCTCCCGCACCGCCTCTCGTCATTGTGACGGCGAACGTGGAGATGCCACCGGACCCGCTCCCATATCAGAGCCCTTTCAGCTCTGGGAGTCCGAGGCAAACCGTTGGGTCCGAGGGCGGCATGACCCCTCCAAGGAATACCACCCTCAGTCGTCTTAGGAGTGTTACCCCCAAAGATACGATTCCTATCGTAGGAAAGCCTCCGAGGAAACAACGAAGTAGTAGGTTCCACGTTACGGAGCATGTGGAAATTGAGAGGCTGCCTGGGTTTACCGGTGCGTATCTTCAATTTCTGGCCTATTGGATCGCAGCTGACCATTCTGCAGAGGTGCCGCCTACCGACAGGACGCCGCTTTTTGTGCGCAAGTTGCATCAATGCAACGTGCTGTTTGACTTTACCGATGCAAGCGCGGACCTACGTGGGAAGCAGATCAAGGCACAGACCCTTCACGAGCTACTCGAATATATCACCACCCAACGCGGCGTTATTACGGAGGCCATATACCCTGAGGTTGTGAACATGGTGAGCCTTGTAGGTTTTTTTCAGTGGTTCCGCATGCTGATAGGCGCATATAGTATGCTTCCAACCTGTTCCGCTCTATACCCCCACAGGTCAACCCCACTGGTGAAGCGTTTGATCCTGAAGAAGATGAGCCAGTTCTGGAATTGGCTTGGCCTCATCTCCAAGTTGTCTACGAATTCTTCCTTCGATTCGTGGAGAGCCCCGATTTCAACACCAATATCGCAAAGCGATACATTGACCAACAGTTCGTTCTCCAATTGCTCGAACTTTTCGATAGCGAAGATCCGCGCGAGCGCGATTTCCTGAAAACGACATTGCACCGTATCTATGGCAAGTTCCTTAACCTTCGCGCATTCATCAGACGTTCCATCAACAATACCTTCTTCCAATTCGTCTACGAAACTGAACGCCACAATGGCATCGCCGAACTTCTGGAAATCCTTGGCTCCATAATCAACGGCTTCGCTCTCCCGCTGAAGGAGGAGCATAAAGTGTTTCTTACTCGAGTTCTTCTACCTCTCCACAAAGTCAGGTCGTTATCGCTCTACCACCCACAGCTGGCATACTGCGTTGTACAATTTTTGGAAAAGGATAGTTCATTGACCGAAGAGGTTCTCGCCGGTTTGTTGCGCTATTGGCCAAAGGTCAACTCGCCGAAGGAAGTCATGTACCTGAACGAAGTGGAGGAGATTCTCGACGTGATTGAGCCGAGCGAATTTGTCAAGATCCAGGTGCCACTCTTCCGGCAATTGGCGAAGTGCGTCAATAGTCAGCATTTCCAGGTTGCCGAACGAGCGTTGTATTACTGGAACAACGAGTACATCATCAACCTGATGGGGGATAATATCGGTGTTATTCTCCCTATTGTCTTTCCTGCACTGTATCAGCATTCTAAATCCCATTGGAACCGGTATGTTCTGCGGCAGCCACCCTATTTGCTCTCGCTAATACCGTTCTAGCACGATCCACGGCATGATTTTTAATGCACTAAAGCTCTTTATGGACATGAATCCCGACGTGTTCAACGAGTGTGTCCAAAATTATAAGCGGGATCGCCAGATGTAAGTTGGCTTCCTTGAATGATCCGCTAGCGCAGCTTCTTACTCTGCTGGCACTCGCACAGAGAATATCAGCACATGCAGCAACGCTACGAGAATTGGCAGCGTCTGCGCGAGATGGCCATCCACAATGCAGACGGGATCTTACCGAAAAATTTCGAAAAGGACTTCCCAGAGCCGCCTCAACCGCCGCCTCTCGACGATTCGGACATCGATGATGTCACATTGGATTTGGCCGAGGGTCTCCAGCAGGTGGATCTCGACGACTCTGCATTGTCACATAATATGCCTATGTCTGAACCTTCTGTGAGCCGCAAGCCCTCTGTTGCGCACCGCATATTGATATTATTGTAGCATTTCCAGACTTCTTTCCCAAATTTACCCGCACCAGAGTTGGGGTCCCCGCCACAGGCAAGTCCGCACGTTCGCCGGAAGAGTGTTCTCCCTGGTACGTATTATTCTAGTAAATCTTACCTTCTCGGTTTGGCATCTGACGGCAAATTCATCAGTGGACCCCGGTGTGTTGCGTGACTTACAAAACCATCGCTCTCTAGACAATGGGGAGTTCGTTGCTCAGGAGAGCTAGATGCCCGATGGAATATGGACTGATGCCGGGCCGAGTGTGCCCACCGCGATATGATGGATATAGTAGCATCTCATCTTTCATTCCCGTATGCGTTGCGAACGATCGGGAAGGATGGGACACTGCGATAACATCCAGGAGGGTGTAGTTGTTAGTATGCCGCATTGTTTTCTGTTTGTTCCGTTCTTCTCTGTTTCACTATTGGTCCGCTGTGTTCGGCTCACTGGCGTGGTGAGGAATTTAGCACGTCATCATGATCAATGCTATGATTCCCAAGTGGCTGACGCTGTTTTTGCCCAGTGCGTCCCGTCCGCGGGTTGGCGAGGATTATCAGCAGTGCACCCTTATAAGGGAATCTCGAGATCATCCGGATCTCTAGGCGACCGTGCCGCAATTTAGTCCCAGCCGGTCAGGTTCACCAGCCAGAGAGCGATCCGAGTTGATCCACGCTTTGGCAAACCATCCAAATCACCGAAAAGTGCTCCCAACATGGGTTTGCTCCACTAATACCCCCGCCCGTCCACCTGGTCACTGCTTCCCAAAACTGGTCAAGTAACCCATCTTCGCTGCCGTATCCTCTTCTTCTGCGTATGCTCCCGCTTTCCCGAATCACGAGCGTTGATGATGCCGCCGGGGAAGACGAGGGCGCAAAGTTGCCTGTATCGGGATAGCGTGCTCGGTCCGCCCTTGACATGCGTATATAACGAGGCAATGTAACAGAGCAGCAACGCCACGTCGACCCGCCGGGATCCTCTCTACCTCTTCAAGCTTATCATTGCCCTCAGGCTCCACTTCACCTTACTGCTCCTTTCCACCTTACCATCATGGGCGTAACAATCCAGACTCTCGTTGCAGGTGATGGCGTGGTTCGTTCATCTACCCCCAGCCCCAAAGAACAAGCGAGCTAACCATTCCTTCCTCCACAGACATTTCCCAAGCCGGGAGGTGAGAACAGGTGATCCCCGCATTTGCCAGCGACATAACTGACGAGCACGTGCGATTCATCCTTGACACGTATCATCATCAGACGTACGTGTAGTCTCCTGCACGCTTGCAACTCCGCGCTGATGTCTAATGCATGATCTAGAGCGTGACCCTGCATTATGTCGGTGAGTGCCGGTGTGTGCGTAGTGAGGGGATATCTCCTGAGCAATCGTCAGGCACCCTCACGAATGGCAAAGTCTTCGATTCGTCTCGTGACCGTCGCCTGCCCTTCACCGTCGAGATTGGGGAGGGAAGGGTCATTAAGGGCTGGGATGAGGGCGTGCCCCAGCTTTCTCTCGGGCAGAAGGCGATTTTGACCATCACCCCGGACTACGTGGGTAAATCTTTCTGATCATTTGTGTGGCTTACTGAGTAAGTCTGTAGGGCTACGGCGACCGCGGTTACCCGCCTATCATCCCGCCCGGCGCTACGCTCTTCTTCGAAGTCGAGCTGCTCAAGATCGAGTGACGGTGCCCGATTCCTCCATCCTGGTTAGAGCCCTATGTGGATGTTAGTCCCCGCGAGAAAGCGTTGGCAAAGCATCGTGAGCGGGAGCGTCTGCGTCGGGAGAAGCGTCAACAGGAGCAGCAGCAGCGGTAGTACTGACCAGTAACAAGCCGCTTTTAGCACATGATGGAGGATGGGAGGTAACGTGATCCACCTCCACCTATCCACCTCCTTTCCAATCACACCAATACTCCTCGACGATTTTTGTTTACTGTATGTTGTACCTGTAAGATCGAAAGTTATCTGATTGTGCATAAAATGAATCGCGGTGGAGGCCAACTCCCACGCAACTCAACAACTTCTCTCCCCAGTACCCTGCTTTCATCTACTGGCTGTCTACATCCAGGCGTAGACGCCCAAGCGGACGCAGATCGAGAGCGGGGTCGGCGAACCATCCTATAATAAAATGCCCAAGTTCATTAGGAGGTAGGACTTCCTAAATGCGTCACCTCCCGGAGGACCATTCGAGACTTATCTTCTTACATATTTCCTTTCACATTTTCCCGTTGTGACTTTGGGGCTTAACGGCGTTAAACTCACACTGCAATATCCAAAAGAAGCTTCCTAAGGGTGGAGCACGTGTTCTATGTTCCGACAATGAGCCTATACATAGATTATCGAGAAGTTGTTGAGGTCAGGACGTCCATGCGAGACAGAGACATGTGCCGAAGCCGAGAGCATCATTGACTTCAGCCAAGGACAATGACGAATATGGGGTGTTCACGGAACCAGCCTCGGCCCACTTAATTTCCAAATATGGTATGATAGACCAAGACCAGCCATGGCGCCACCGAGTAGACCCACAAGAGACCCTTTCCTATTTCAGTTACACCCTTTCCCTACTTTGACCCATCTGCCCAGCTTAGTTAAATGGCCGGTCGTCTCGTTCAGGTTGCACGTTCCTCTCTCCGGTCCACCACCACACCCCTTTCATACCGCTCTTTCATTCGCACTTTCACCTCATCGTCTCCAAGAATGGGTGTCGAGGTCAAGAACATCGCTGACGGTGACGGCAAGGTGTGTCCACTCGTGTCATCGATCCCGGATCGATCATGCTGATTGCCCATCGTAGAACTTCCCCAAGAAGGGCGGTAAGCATGCCCAGTCATTATTGTAGGATTGAAATGGAATCTCACTGTGAATGCGCGATCACGCTTTCCCGATGAACAGATGTGAGTAACCGCAACAGTCATTTCGTGTTTTTTTTTATCTAACTTTCCCACAGACGTGAGCACTGCACTGCCGTCCAGAGAACCCCATGTACTAATATGTACTTCTGATTGCCAGTGTGACCATGCACTATGTCGGTAAGTACCCTGTCGCTGGCCCCTGTCGTTTCCGGAACGATCACTCACCCTGGACCTCAGGCACCCTCGCCAATGGCACCAAGTTCGACTCTTCCCGTGACCGCGGCAAGCCCTTCGTCACCGAGATCGGTATTGGTCGTGTCATCAAAGGCTGGGATGAGGGCGTGCCTCAGCTGTCCCTCGGCCAGAAGGCAATCCTCGTTTGCTCGGCTGACTACGTGAGTGTCGTTGCTTCTTGCATTATTTACCGCTTGGGCTGGATATATGCTGATACCGCGACAAGGCTTACGGCCCCCGTGGCGTTCCTGGTGCCATCCCTCCGAACGCCACCCTCAACTTCGAGGTTGAGCTGCTCAAGATCAACTAAAAGAGCGGCGTTGCATTGCATGAACTCTCACAAGATACAGCTGGGGATCTCTATTGGGAAGACCCTGGTATAGCATGTAGTAGTGAAGAATAAGAAATCAGCGACCGTGTCAATGAAAGAAGCTAACGAGCGATGGAGGCCACTTCTTCCTCGTGTTGTTCATAGTCTGCGCTGTGTGACATGTTGGCGATGCCTTCCCCTCTTCAATTGCTTGGAGCTTTCTGTGCGGCGACTTGTAAGGACTCCCATGGCCGTAAGTTGCTTCGCTAGACCCACTGGCCACTCGTTGACTAAATTTATTCCATATCGCTTTTCAGACGCCCCAGCAATCTTGAATCTGTGAACGGTATCGAAGGAGTACCATCCTGCGAACTTTGCTTGTGTCGGTGCAATACAATGCTCCTCCCTTCCCGTGAACGCCGGCTTCGTGAGTTGGCCCACACGGGTTGGCACAGTCATCTGAGGGGTTTGCGAGGGAGCATGTGCTAAATGGTCGGATGTCTGCCCTTCAAGTTGACCGTTGTTTTCATTCCGCTCCCGTCGCCTCATCCCGGCTGCCTATTTCGTCTTTTAGCCTGCAAGGATGGGTGTCACCATCACACACTCGTACCTGGCGACGGCAAGGTATGTGCAAACATCGATGTTTCAACGATATCTCTGATCGAGTAAAACACAGACATTTACCAAGAAGGACGATAAACCTGAACAACCGGTCGCGGTGTCATGGTGACAGATTACTCACTGAGCCTGCTTCTGTGGTGGTCCCAATGATGTACTCCGAGTGTCTGTCCGCTCCCGTTTTTATTTGACTTCGCAGCAGATGTGAGTCCGTTCTCGTCTTACGAGCACCCCACGTTCTCTATCTGATTGCCAGAATCATAATCCATCATATTGGGGTGGGCTGGTGCACGAGACAATAAGCAGGTGCGTTGGGGTGCATTGGGGATTCCACTGCCGCGTCGCCGCAGTGTCGCCACGTACCAACCACAATAAATCGCCTCAGGGGTAACATTTGTTCATCTGCAAACATCTAGGACTGCGGACCGATTCCCCGCGTTTGACATTGGCTCGTGAAATATGCGGTTGATGCTCCACCTTTCCGTAAAATCGAAGAAGGCAATACCGAAAGGGGCAAGGAAACAATAACCCCGTCACAAAGAAGAAGTCCTTAACACAACCTGCGTCGCTTTAAAAGGCTGGAACAGAGAAAATATTATCAGCACAGGCCAGGCCTTCCTGATCAGGGGTGCGACGAAGACCAACCGCCCTACTCAGTGTTCGGGTGAGCAAGCCGGCTCTCCAGCTTTGGTGACTGACATAATACCTGGGGTATAAAATGGGGCTCCCATGTTGTACTGCTCAGTCAATCCCCTTCACACGGTCTCTCCTACAGTATGTATATCAAAACAGCCATGCATGTTCTGAGCGAGGCTCTGCTAGGTTTCAAGTGGCACCGCCTGAAGATCATCATTGTTCCGCCGCCAACTGTCCAAATAGCAAAAGCACCTGCAAAGAGCACTATTGGAATTGCACGGGTACTACTGCCAAGTCACACACAGGGACGTGAAGACTACTTACTGTGGGAACTGGTCAGGGAGAACGGAAAGCAAAAGAAGGGAAAGGATGGGAATTACGAAAAGATAGGGATTCCTTCCCAGCGTACTGTGATATGTGGGCGTAAGAGTACGTTCGAATGCACTGCAGGTCCACTTCTTTCTCCGTTTCTTCAGGCTCGACAGAGTGAAGCATACTTCCACTAGTACGGCCCCCTTCAATCATGTATAAAGTCACGGTGCTAGTGGCGCACTTGCGACGCGGCTACACAGCATATGCAAATAAAGGAGTTCTCTAATATAGAATCGCACCAGAAATAAATCATCTCTGCATGCATATGTCATATTTTGGTTTCTGAATCTAACCACTCATCCAGCCCCTTGTAGAACACTTGTTCTCTCAGCGACACGACTGAGGATTGATCGCAGTGACATTCGTGTGCTTCCCAGTAGCGGACGAGGAGGATTATGATGTTTCCCGGAGTGCAGCTGATCCGAAACCCCTTCTCGTACATCTTGCGTTGTTCTGTGCCATCGATGTAATACCGATATAACGATTCATTCGCTCGCTGTAGGGCGCTGATGTATAGTGTTTTGTCGGCATCATTATCAATGAAGTCCGGGAGGGTCACCGCTAGTTCTCCAGGTCGAAAGCCGGCATTCCCAAAGTCAAGGAGAGCAGCTACATTGCCCTCATTGTCCACCAAGATGTTCCGACCGGCTAAGTCCCCATGCGAAAAGTGGAAGGTGTGCTGATCTCCCGCATGAAGATCGAGGAAATCGTAAAGCTCGATGAGTTTTCTGCCCGGGCCTCTGTTTTCCAGTGGCATGAGACCCGGTTTACCTAGGAAAGCAAATGCCTCGAGCAGATCGCGCTTGGTCATGAATGGACCGCACTGATCCGCCGGGATAGCACCGCCTTTGAAAAGCGGATCTTCGAATGCAAGATCGTTAAGCGGACCCAGGACAATCTCATCGGATGTGTTGTCGGAGAACTGTGAAATGGAGCCAATCATTCGATGCTCAATGCTGAAGAGGCAAGCGACAAGATCGGCGACTTGTTCGATAACGTGCTGGCGACGTTTGGGGTCGAAGTCGGCGAAGCGGAGATCTGCTCGTTCGCCTGGCATATGCTGCATGAGAATCCATTCCAATCCCACTGGATTGGGCTCAGCGCAATAGCAATAGACCTCCGGCACGCAAGTACGTCGAGCTACAGGATTGTTGAGTGTCAGCTACCCAAAGCCGGATGCGAGATGAATGCACCCCGAAGCATTCTCATCGAAGTCACCTCTCCCTCCGTCTTCCACCGTGGTCGCCACGGGTAGACCAGTTTCGCAACAATAGAATCGACTTGCTGTTCCATCGAATCATAAAGCGTATACAGGTAGACAATGCCGAAACAGGCGTCTGGAACGCTGATCTCTTCCCGGTCGATCCTCCCGACTTGGCTGCATGGATTACGAAGTCGGAATTGATTCTCAAGAACGGCATG